CTTAATTTTCTAATTTTTAACGATACAATAGCGACGATTATTATTTAAAAAAATTTTTGTTAGGCTTAACATCGATGAAAATTCAACGCGAAGTAGATTAATAGCGATATACTAATATACTAATTACATGGGATATAATAATATACTACACTAACAATGGATTTTTTCATACTTTTCGGTTATCCGACTTTTCAATTATCCGACCAACCCCAGTCCCCAATTGAGTCGGATAATCGAGGCTCTACTGTATTTTATCGTCTATATCAAAATTTTTTCTTCTGCTTTCTTGTGCACAATACGCCAGTTGTAATTTAAACTTCGTTGTGTAACTCATTCTCATAAGCAATAACCATCACTTCATCCCTATTTGAAATTTGCATATTGCCATATTTCTATATACCCGTGCCTACTCTCGTCGCACGAGAGTAGCACATCGTGATTCAAGTAACATAAATTTTAAAAAATTAATAACTCGCAACGACTTTTAAAAAAATCATCCTGTGTATATAGCATAATTGTTATAAATTAAAATAATTTCTTTAGCTACCTTTGCTAAATTATATTTAAATTGTTTTCAATATTGTTTTATGCCTTTCTCCTTGTTTTCTTTAATGAGAACTGATAGGACAAGGAAGAAGAAAAATTGTACAAGCCTTCTATTCTAGCTTTTCAATAAACCGGGTATCGCTGTCGTTGGCGATAGTGTACTAAATGAACCCAAAAGGCAATAACTAGTATCCTACAGTTTATCCTGTAGGAGACTGTCTAGTGGCTTGAAAGATCGTGCAGTCATCCATACGGTGCAGTGATAATTGTAGCTGCTTTTAGCACTGAAAACAGAACATCCTAGAATGGACGTCGATAACTAGTTATTTCAAAAAAATTAAACTAATCAGAAATTTATAATATTTTCTGCATTTATTTCTTAACTTATAAATGAATTAAAGACCTAAAAATGAAATTACCTTAATCTTAATTTCAGTAAGATCTATACGTTTCCCTAATTCTTCTCTTTCGTGTTTATCGATATAAGGATGAGTATTAAATCTTTCTTCTAATGCCCTTAACTGCGTGTTCGTAAAAGTGGTCCTCTCTCTCCTCGAATCAATAGAAGAACCTAAAAATAATGTATAAATATTAATTTACTAGCAGGTGGGCCCGGCGTTGCTCGGGCAAAAGTAACGATAACCAAGATAAAGATTATTACGTTACAGTCAACCTTACCCGTTTTCACAGAATGCAAGAATTGGGTCTCCTTTTTCCAGACTAATTAGAGAATTTTTACGTCCAGTCAACCTATTAAATTACATTAAAACCTAATTCTGTATATGAAAATACTTAAATTATATTTATTTAAAATCATAATCTATTATGTATATGGTCTAAATAAACTAAAAGAAGTTGCGTGATTACGGTTTAGATTAGAAGTTGATGGCATACAAGTTGGATCTCCAGTAGATTGTAACTGCATTGCAGTTGGATGTCCAGTACCAGATATCTGCAACCTAGTTAAATCTTGAAACGGAACTAAATTTTCTCTGTGAAGAAAAGATGGAACTGGTTGTTGTGGATAAGTTACATAATTACTTACATGATGATTCATATGTTCATGTAAATGTCTCTCTCTGAGATAATTTGAATATTTAGGTATATTCATAGGAAGATGCATATAAGATGAAGCTGAATTAATGAATGAAGGGGGAGGAATTACCGTAGAATTTCCCATACCACATGAAAATTGATGATTATAAGTTAAATATTTCTGAGTTAACTTTAGTCTCTTTTGTTTCATTCGACGATTTTGAAACCAAATCTGAAAAATTTATGAAGTAAAATAAATATTAAATATAAATTTTATTTATTACAAAATTAAGTTATTAATTAAAACATCTTAATAATGTTTAGTGTACGTTATAATAATAAATGTTTGTTTTATTTTGTATTATCGTTTGTACATAAAGCCAAATATAAAATTTAGTAGTATATATCAGTTGCTCCATTAAGTTAAAAAAACAATAGCATATTTAAAAACTTTCAGATATTTTTTTCTGTAGTGATCGCAATAAAACCGAATAAATCGCTAAAAGAATTTAAATTCAAAAGAAAAAAAATCCAACAGAATTGCATAACTTTTCTGGTAACATTAAAATTGCGTGTGGCGCTATTTATTATACAGTATATTTTTAAATAATATTATTATTATTATTATAATAAAGGAGGNATTTTTATTAATCATGAATTGCAAAAGGGCAACAGAAAAATAAAAAATGACTAGAATCACAACGGAACTGAAAAAAGAGATTGTTGAGAAATATGAAGGTGGCACGCGTGTTCGAGATTTAACTGTTGCATTCCGTATTCCGAGAACGACGATATCGACAATCGTGAAAAATAAAGACATTATTAAATTTGCTAACGTTGCGAAAGGGGTTAAATCAATTTCTAAACAGAGAGCGAAGACATTAGATCGTGTAGAGAAATTGCTTTTGCTTTGGATAACTGAAAAACAGTGTGCCGGCGACAGCGTATTGGAAGAAATCATTTGCGAGAAAGTTAAAAGGATACATGCTGAGCTAATGAAAATTCAAGCAGAAACTAGCGAGGAAAGCGAGGTGTTTAAAGCCAGCCATTTTTTTACATGAGAACGGATTAATCATTTTTACATTAGTTCTTATGGAAAAGGTTGGTTTGGTATACGTCCTATTCGGTATAAGTCCAAACACCAGGAACGGATTAAGGTCGTATACCGAGGCTCCACTGTACTTTTTTATATTATTTACTACCACTATAATTTAATTCTTAATTATGAACTTCAATTTTAGTAATCTTGGTAAAAGAAAACTTTTTTTTAATTTGAATCTGTCCACGCATATTTAATTTATAATTTTTTTTTATCCATTACTATAATAATTTTTAAAAAATCAACTTTTAATGCTGTATTTAATTAATAAAAAACCATAGAAACTATTTTCATAAAATCTTTTTATGAAATATTTAATTTTAAAGTATTCATATTTAACAAAGTATTCGTGAATATGAATTTGAAATAAGCACAAAAATTGAGTATGATGGTATTTTGGATCGGAATTCTCGCTGATCCCTCTTAAGTCTATAAACAATAATTCTGTTTTGCAACTATGCATTTGGTTAGAATTTTTAAGAATGCATTTCTAAAAAATATATAGGCTAATAAAACGTTTGTAGATCTGCAGCACAAAATTTTTACTAAGCAAACGTTTGTGTTAAATTTAAACATTAAGAATCTGAGTAGATGGGAAACTATTCAAGTGCAAAGTACAGTACAGGATTAGTCAAAATTATGTGAACAATATTAATTTTTAATTAAACATGATTAATGAAATATCTTAATTTTGAATCCTCGAAGACCTCAGGACAGAATAAAAGGTGTTCTGGCACTAAATTGTACTGTTCAACGTTGGTTTGAGTGCATTAATCGTGCTGGTTGTCAGGTTGAGAATCTGTATAACGTAAACTTTGAGTAAATGCTCTCTCTCAAATAGTGTTCACATAATTTTGACTCGCCCTGTAAACGGTTTCAACTTATTTCTACTTAAGTAGTAGTTAAATAATTAAGAAATTCTTGATGCAAGGGTAGGAATTTTACTTAAACAAAAACTTAACCATTCTCTAGCTGAGAATAATGGAGACTGATTTCTTAGTAATATTATATGTAATAAAGAGAAATTTTTCCAATTCAACAAGAGTAACTGAAAGGTTGTAAATTTTGGAAAATTTCCGTAGTCTTTAAAAATCAAATGACAGACAATCTATTAAGTTTACTATATTTACATTCCTACAGCTATAACGAGAAACGTTTAAAATGTATAACCTTGTCACGTCCTTTGAGATATACTAGTGATGGGACAAAAGAGACATTTTAGATTTTACTGTTTTTTAGGACTTTGAACGTGTTAAGCGACAATCAGTTTTTCATTCCGACTTTATTCGACTCCAAATAACAGGAAGAAACTTCCAAGTTTAACGATTTGTTTTTAAGTTCGCGTTTCTAAAAAATGAATAACCAAACCTTTTTAGATATCAAACTTTTACTAAGCGAACGTTTTCATTACATTTAAGCATTAAGAATCCAGCCAAATATCTAGAAAGGTTATGTTATCAGTTCTTTAAATACATCCCGGTTGGCAATTTTCTGTCGACTACGTTACTTACGATTTCATTCATTTTTGTAAACCATTTGGTGTTAAAAGCTACAGGTATTTTCGCGTTTAATTGAAAAGTCTGATAAGAAATAAAATTTGTGCGATTCATAAAAGAAATTTAAAACAAAGTCGCTCGCTGTCTGACTTAACAACGCTCTTTGCCTGAGACCGATCGAACTTCGTGACACGGTGCTACTCAAACTGTGGTCTGCGGACCAGAGATGATCCGTCTTATCTATGTGAAATTAAATGAAAAAAAAAACAAAAAACTGGGTGAATGAACACTGCTCTAACTGGTGTTGCATCTATTGTTTTAAAGTCTTTATGTAGTAGCCAATCGATCCCACATCTTACATATAAATTATAGTTACATAACTTTACATTTTTAAACTTAAAGGATTAGTTAGGCTATATAAAACATATATGTTTATAAATTTAGATAATAAATTTATAAACATTTAATCTGAATTTTAAAGTAATTTGATTCTGTTCTCTTTTTAACAAGTTAATCTCGAAAAATAAATCGTCGTTGTCAAATCTTAACTCGTCAATTTCGTTATAGAATGTTACGATGTTACGGAAGCGTAACTCGAGCAAAGTTCGGGTTGCCCCCCAAGAAGTAGTCACGTGTTAGCAATAAAGGCTGAACTCGTTTCTACATTCTGGCGGGAAGCGCGCTGTCGGACGCAACAACGAGTAGTTTCAACGTGGGCTCGGATAGTTCCGTTCTAGTGTCAATTATGTGGTTTTATGAATGAAAAATTACAAGTTGTGAAAGTGCAAGTCAATATATGGATATTATATATATATACCCGTGTAATTGGTAAGTGTCATCTCGAGTTTTTTTCGTAACTACTAAAATGCTATTGGAAGGCTTTTTTAATATTTTCTCTCTAAAAACGCATATTTTAAAATGCTATTGGACGGCTTTTTTAATATTTTGTCTCTAAAAACGCATATTTTAAAATTATAGATCCCCCATCATGCTACTGTCGATATTACGGACGTCGCCATCTTTTTTTTCTCTGTCCGTTGTTCGCAATGTCTGCGAACGATCGCTATTAACGAACGCACTGTAGTTTATCACGTGACACAAGGTATAGTTGTCCGGAAATACGTCAGAGCTGTAGTCACGTGACCACCTCGCTCCGTCGTCACCACTCACGTGACTGGATGAATGACGTTTAACCGAGGTCACGTGACACGAATTGTAAGCGTCCGCCGTCCAACGTGCTACTCCGCGATGTGAACAAGGTTAAGCAATGGCGGCCTCCACCGTGCACAGTCGGTAAGTAATCCGATCAGTTTTCGCTTATAGCTCTTAATATACGCGTCTCCCCCAAATAATTCTATGTATTTAGGACACGTCTACTAGAGAGCAAAATTAGAAAAAAAGGACCCATGAAGTAAGGATAAACTTTTACCCTTTTTCTAAGTTTAACTATAGACTTGTCAATATAGATAATACGAGAAGAATAAATTTGTGAATTAAAAAAAAATTTCCAACTTAACAATTTAGACTTTGTTTCATTTATAATGCAAATAAACTGAAATAATTGAATGATCAAAAACATTAGATCTGGATTAGTCATGTTTTATCTATAGTCATGAGATAATTAACTCGTGTAATCATCTTCGATTATCACAATGTAATTATATTTTTTAATTTATAAAAACTTATTTGGTAATTTTTCATATGATCCTATCTATAGATTTCGTTTTAATTTTGCCTAATAACTTATTAAACGTTCAATGAAAAATAAGTAAAGCAATGATGACAGTTTCATTTCATTCGTGATATAAAACCATATGCAAATTTTTAAATTTCGTAAGCGAATTCAAGTTAAATTTTAAAAGAAATTTCTTAACAGATCTATATCATATATCCGTTAAGATATTTTCCTAATTATTACTAATTATTTCAGAACAAAAATTATAAAGAAAAACTTAAATTTTTTTTTTAATATATGAAAGTCATACCTCTGATCATGTCCCAAATTATTTTTATCCAAAAATGCTTAGAAAGATTTAAGATATATTCACCTTAATACTAAATTTAAAAAATTCACCCATTTTGCCCTTATCCTCAAATTTTAAAAATACTCATATAATAAATTTTATTATGGGTTATACTTACTTTTTACAGAAGGATTTGAAGCATCTAGTTCTTGGTTTACTGTAAAATTTTCTTTAAGTTCTGAAGTTTCTTCTGTCGATTTCTTCGTTTCTTCGTCTATAGATGTTAGAATGTTATCTTCTAAATTCGTCTTTAAAGGTTTCATTTTTTATAATTTTATGCTATCTAGCTAAAATAAAAATGTATGACTACAACTCCAATTTAGAGAGAAAGATAACTCCGTATATGATAATTTTAATTAAAGTTTATGATAATGTGCATGCATTTCATTTCATTGACGATAGCGGAGTATTGCAGCTCTTATGTACAGTACATGATGTAAACTTCTAAAAGGTAAATAAGTACAGACCCGCCAACCCACCAGCCAATGGGAAGTCAAATCCAAATCAGCAACCCAATTGGACCACTAGTTCTAACGAATAGGGGGGCCAATAATTCTGTAAATTGATAGCATACGAAAACACTTCAGTTTTGTTTATTAATGAAATATAATTATTTAATTTACGGAGATACATTCTCTTGTCTTGATGGTGTTTCATTTCAATGGATTATTACAGATCGTTTTGGTAAACCATCCGAAAATATTTAAGATTAATAATAAAAAGTACTGAAATATAATTATTTAATTTTAGGAGATACATTCTCTTGTCTTGATGGTGTTTCATTTCAATGGATTATTACAGATCGTTTTGGTAAACCATCCGAAAATAATGTTTTGCGGTAAGGCTTCAGAAAATGCATATTTGCATGATATTCTGAACTGTATTGATACGTGATATTCAAAATATTCAGAATATTTTGAATGTATACTAATTCAAACATTTTGAAAATATCTGTAAATTGTTTACTTAAATAAAATTTAATTTATTTTTAAATTCAGATTTTTAAAGTTTGCTGATTCTGCATTTAAAACTCCTCCTGCTATTGATTTTTGGGAACAACAGGGATTGCATGGATCAAAAGTGTTATTAGAAGGAGTCAAAACAGGTACAGCAAAAGCAAGTGTACGACTACGTGATTCAGATTATAAGGTATTTTATTTGATAAAATACATTATAATAAAGTTATAAAATTTAATATTTTGTTTTATTTAAAACAAAATACAAAATAACATGCAAATATAGAAAATCTTAGAACAAAAAAGTTTTTTTATTTTTATAATAAATTTTTTCTAACTTGATCTGTTATATATATGAGCATTTATCCTATATGAAAATTAAATTCACTCTCCTAATCATTTAAAATATTCTTTGTGCATATAACTTTATAAAAATAATTGCTTCAATTATTTATTATTATTATTATTTATGTAAATTTTGTTTTAATTTTTAGGATCTTCAATCATCAGAGATAACATTAATTGTTGTTGCAAATTTAGTTCTTAATCCACCTTCTGATGTGTACATATTACCTGAAATGACAATTCAATATCAGGTAGAATTAATAAAGCAAAGAAAAGCTCATAGTAAGTAAACTGATTTTAGCAATAATGAAAAAAGAACTAGTAAATAGTTTTAATGATTGGAGATCTTTAAATTTATAAATATGAACTAAATATAAAAAAAATACATAAATCTAAAAGCAGTAGTATCACCAAATAAAATTATCTTAATGTTTATTTTACATTGGATTAAAACAGTGGTTATCAAAGTATGATTATAAATTAATCAATTAAATATAATAAAAATATAATATTGTTATGCTTATTATAAAATTAAAAACTACACAGAATTCTCATATGGCTGACTTACATTGTCATACTTTTTTCTTTTTATTTCTAAAAATCAATTACAAAATTACAAATTGCTTATAGTGTCTTGGATTGAAAATATTTATATTTGAAGAATTTTGAATTGAAAGATGTGCTGTAAAAATGATCAATAAAAATGCATTTTTATTTCATATTAGCTGCAAGGACCCGCTTTGCTGGGTTTTTATTCGTTCGTACATTTGTATGTAATATAGTTTTTTTTTATATATAAAAGACTGCTTTTCTAACTAATCTAGAATCTAGCTGCAAGGACCTGCTTCGCTGGGTTTTTATTTGTGGGCAAAAATTAACGATAGTGACGATTAAGATAATTACATTATAGCCAATCTTACCCGTTTTCACAAAATGCAAGAATTAGGTCTCCTGTTTCCAGAGAATTTTTACATGAGCATAAAAATATGTTTGATTTCCCGCAAAAGCGCAAAAAACCGCCTGTAAATCTTGCATGCCGCTTTATATTAACACTTCCTGGTCCCGATTCTATTTCTGAACGTCTCCTGTTCAAGTCCAGTCAAACGAACTATTTTCAACGTTTCTGGAACGTTTAC